GTATGTAATACAGAAGTATTTATGGAGGGGGGAGATTTCTTTTTACCTTCTAGGTTCTTTGCCTGCTCTATTAGTAATATTAACATAAATCAGGGGGAAAAACAAATCAAATTTTGTATGTGTCGATGTGGACCTGGAAAAATAACCAGAGAATTTTCTTTTTGTATCCAAAAAGAACTGAGGAAAAAAAGGAGGTTTGAGTCTACAGATTGGTAGAGAAATATTAAGGTCTGTCTTTATAGCCCCTTGGGCCCTAAACTCCTTCTCTGGTGATCAGGATGACTTCTACCCTTCCATTACAGGGAGGGTGCTTTCACAAGGAGAATTTATTCACCTCCTGCTTCAAGGACAAAGAGGTGTCACAGTGTTCTGTTTGCACCAACTGTTTCTTAAGTCTAGTTCAAAAAAGTCAATCAACAAATTGGCATACTTGGGGGCAGCCTTCTCTGAACCCCTTCAAGTTGTAAGTGAATATCCCAGGTGTCTTGGGCCCACCCACCTGCCTAAGAGTCAGTTTAGTTAGGACGTTTCCCTCCATACTCTCCTGTCTGTGGTTATGGGAAGTCTGCAAATGTTGCAGAGGCCTTAGGCCAATGTGACTGACTAATCCAGGCATTGCTGCATCTGAGAGCCGACAGAAAGCCACCACCTTTCTTAGAAGGTGCTCCAGACTGAAGTTGGAGGGGGAACCTAAGATCATATCCATCTTGTTTCCTCAGCGCATTCAGAGTCTCTGTATGCAATGATCTCTGCCTTTCCAGGCCCCGTCTGTTCCTGAGTTAGGGCTGTTTTGGTTCTGTGACGTTGGGTTCAAGGGGAATGGGTTTTGGCAGGGGCTGGGAGAAGTCATGCTGGGATGGAATAATCCAGTTATACCTTCTGATTTGTTTCCAGGGATCTTCAGAACTTTCCTCAAAAGCCAGAAATCAGTAGCCCTGGAGGGCTGCTGGAAGTGAAGGGGTCTAAGGACTTCGTTGTCAGAAAAGTACCCTCACTAGGACCAAGAGCATGAGCCACAGTGAGACGATCATGGAAGCCGCAGCTGGCACTGAGGTGCCCCAGGAACTGCTGGAAGAAATGCTTTGGGTCTTTCGGGTACAAGACGGTAAGTGGCGGGAATTGTGTATGTGTCTGTGTTTTCTCAACTGAAAGAGCAGACTCTGGCTGAAGCCCCTGACCCAAACTCCTCCTCCAGTTCCTGAGGCACTGAGGGTGGGAGTAAGGGGTTTGGGAGGACTAGGCTCAGAATCCAGAAGGGTCTGGCTGGACCACACCCTCCTTTTCTCAGGACGTGATCATTAATTTACTCCTCCTTCCAATCATTTAGGAATATTTATTAAGTTCCTCCTAGGAGGATCATCATGAGCCACAATGAGATGATTATGGATAAGTCAGCTTCTGTGTGCCAGTGAAATTATAGTAGTGAATAAAACACAAACACCTTAGCTCTCGTGGAGAAAGAAAATAAACAAGATAAAAAAAGGAAAATGCATAGCACGTTGGTGATGATCAATAAGGAGAAAACTTAAGCAGGAAAAAGGGGATAGAAGTGTGGATGAGAGTAGGTAAAGGGGTCAGGAAAGGCCTCATGAATGTGAGCTGAAAATAAAGGTTTGCAGGAGGGAGAGGAATGCACCATGCAGATTAATTGGGGGGTGCGAGGTGGGGGAGAACATTCCTGATGGAAGGAACAGTAAATGCAAAAGCTCTGAGGTCATTTTGGTAACGTATAGCTGACTCTTGATTACCTAAATTCAGATCAGCCTTTCCTATATTATCAGGGAGTGAATAATCCTTCCTCTCCTTGCATTGCATAGAGCCAGCTCTCTGAAGACTTGGATGTCTACCTGACCCACCTCTTCACCCCTCTTCCCCACTATTGCAAACTGCAGTGCTGCCCCCCATTAGCTTAGGTCTTTTCCAGAGCAGAGATGGTCTCCCCCTCTTCCTAACACTGAAATTCCCAGGCCAGGAAGCTTGTCTTACCCTTAGAGTCTCTCTCTAGTGTCTGGTCCACAGGAGGGGACAGTTGATGTAGCGGGCAGTATCCAAGCCCAAACCCCAACTGTCAGCAGGCCTAAGGGGCACCCAGCCTCTCCTCAAAACTCTGTCCTGTGTGTCCCTCCCCAGCGGCTCCGTGGAATTATTCCATCCTTGTTCTGATGTTCTTGGTAGTCACAATAAGCATCGTCCTCCTGGGGTGGAGCATCCGACAAAACAGGTGAGGCGTTGATTAGAATGGTCTCTGGAGGGTGGGGGTCCTCTCCTTCCAAGGGAAATCTAGAAAGGGGTCATCTGGGGGCTTTTGCTCTCCATCCTTTGGGACGGCACAGGACCCAGGGTCCCTTGAGAACCCACAGCTCTTGGGAAACCAGCAACTACCACCAGTTACCAGCCTGGGCCCTGGCCAACAAGCAGGACAGCCTAGCATTTTGCAGGGGTAGATTCCCTGCCTCTGGAGGTCACACAGACCTGGCTCAAATCCCAACTCTTCCACTCACTTGCTGGGCAAGACACTGCATACCTCGCAATCAGATGGGGTGGTAACTAATTCCTTCCTTCTCAGACTGTGGGGAGTCTAGTGGTTCTACCAAGCACCCTAGGGCAGAGTTAAGGATGCTATTAGAGGGAAAGCCTTGTCCCGCTCCAAACCCAATGCAGACCTCCTGAGATCCGTGGAGGCTCCTAGAGTAATTTTAGCATCTTTATAATGACAGTACTCTTTGATCTTGGATAGGCCACAAAGTCACCTCGAAGAAAACACAGGCTCTGCTCTGAAAGTGGGGTCCATAGTAGTGGGCAAGACAGATTCAGTCCTGGCCTTGTGGAAACTACATATGGGAGATGGTTGTGGGCGGACGGTCAGCATGGGATGGAGGTGTAGTGGGAAAATGGGTGGGATTGGGTCCTTTGGGGCAAAGAGAGAGAAGGATGGACTGAGGAGCCTTTCAGACAAGAGGTAGTGTGCATCAAGGTCAAGGAAGGAGGAGGAGGGTCTGTGCAGTTGTGGAGACTCACCTGAGCCTCTGTGCCACCAGTGTGTGCACATGGGATACAAGACTGGCATGCATAAGCTGATCTGACGAAGTGCCTAGAGGAAGGAGGTTAGTTAGGAATTTATTGCTGTGGTTTGTCAGGATGGAGAAAGGATGGTGGTGGCGTGCGGTGAGGGGGGTGACAAGAACCTGCTCTCAGTAGGATGACTGATCTGAAATAGAAAAATTGTGGTTAGGTGACAAGACACAGGGCTCAGAGTCGTGAGACTTAAATGTATGTGGCAGGTATGTGCTTTTTTGGCCTCTTTGAACTGAATTTCCTCACCTGTAAGGGGAGTAGTAGAAGTATTAGTTCAGTTCACCAGTGGCAAAGATGCTTGGTTGAGTCCATGCTCCAGCAAGTGTAGGTTGTTTTTCTGCCAAAAAAAACACCAAACCATCTCTATTTTCTTCCCCAACTGTTCCTTACCAGATTTTCCCCCTTAAGACCCCTATCCAATTTGGGGGACCCAGTTCTGTCCTAACTACTCAGTACAGGGAATTCATGCTCAAGAGTGTTCTCTCTCTTCTCAGAAATAAAAAGATGATGCGACCGGAAAAACAAACTCCAAAAGTTCCATGCTCGGATGAAGCAGACACCAAAGATAACAATAGCCAGAACCTCGTGACAGAAACTTTGCTGTCAGCAAAACCCAAAGAGAGCAACGTGTCATCTATTTCCCTTCCAGAGCCACAAGAATTTGAAAGCTAGCGCCCCCATGTGACTAGATGAATGAACTGCAGTCAAACGAAAATTCTGTTATGAAAACAAAATCTTTTTATTAAAATGCTTCTGGGAGTGGGCAGTTGGAATTGCAAGTTTGTTCAGTTGGTGGTGGTCCTCACACAAGCAGCTTGAAATAACAGCACAAAATCCACAGCTGGCCTGTGGGTCAGGAGGCCTGACCAGGATTCCTCATGTGGTTTTGAGGACTCCACAGCTTCCCTCCGCCTCAACCTCTCCATCTATAGAATGAGTCTGAAGTCTGGGTGAAGATGTGTTTCACTCCAAGCTCTTGCAACTGCTGAGAGGGGAAGGCTCAGGATTCTGGGCTCAGAACCCCCTTCTTGTCTTGCTTCTTCCTCCCACCAGACCTCTCTCCTTTACTTGCTCATCTGCTGACGGCTCATGAGAGACTCCCTTTGGGCCACAGGCCCTGGTGATAAATAGAGTTAGGAAGTGGTAGTGCTCCCTGCCTCTAAAAACCTTCCATCCCTTGCTAATCATGGCACCCCAAGGGAGGGACGTGATCTTCACTCTGAGCCACAGTGTTGTGGTATAGGCTGAGGTGGCAATCTCAAATAATTTAGGTGGAAATTTGATTTATGAATCAAAAATGCTTTAGGTTCTATCTTACAACAGTATATTTTGGACATGCAGACCCAGTAGCAAGGGTACTGGATCCTCCAGGACCAGACTACAAATTAGTAGTCACAAAATAGTGCCCACTGGGTATCTGACACTAAGTTCCCTGGAGTCCTGGGAAGTTATCTCCAGAGAGAACAACTCTGTTGGCAGTGTTCTTCTTTTAACTTAAGGAGGCTGGTCCTAAGAGTCTGTAGACTGAGTCCTTAATTTAAGGTGGGGAAATACGGGACCACTGCCTCTGGTGAAAAGCTCTAGAGTGTCCCTCCACTGGGCCACCTCCAGCCACCTTCCCTTTACCTTCATCTCGTGGCAAAGTACAGGAAATAGGCCTCTCTGGCACTTTGCTTCTGACCAGTGGCTTATTTTGGATTTTGCTTGGATAAACTGTCAGGTCTGCTGGTCACAGGCCTTGTCTGGGGCTTATGTGAAGTCAGGCAGTACCCATTCTGTATCAGGGGGCTGTAGGCCCTCAGGGCTGCCCCTCTGGCAAGATGGCCTATGGCTACATTTCTGCAGGCCCTTTTGGCCACATCTGGCCTGGCTGTAGCTGACTCGGGAAGAGGTGACTTCATCCTTCTTAAGGCTGGCGCCCAGTCTCTGGGTTCCAGCAGTGGCTGTTTCCCTCCAAGGTCAGGGAATGCAATGGTTACCAGGGAAACCAGACCTTGGAGGGAATATGAGCAGTATGCCAGCCTACCCCTCCAGCTCCCTCAGTGAACTGGGTGTCAGGACACTCACTGCTTGCTGCTGGAGGGGTCAGGTGTCCACCAGGGGGATAGTTATTGTTCCATCAGTGGGAAAGTCAGTGGCAAAAAGTCATTCTGTGTCCTGCAGCACTGCCCGAGCGCCGAGCCGGGGGTCCCAAGGAAGGGCCCTCAGAAGATCTTGAAGCCCTTCAGCAGGGTCAGAGTTGGCGCCTTGCGTTTGCTTTGGGCCCGGGAAGACTTCACGGTGACCAGCTTGGCCTGGGCCACAGCAGGCATCTCCTTCAGACTGACTGTGGAGAGCGTGTTGAAGGTGCAGCTGGCCAGCCCGTGCCTGGCGGTGAGCGGGGCCTGGTGGGGCAGGGCCCTCTCCTCAGTGATGAAGAGGGACCGGGTCAGGGGGCTCTTCTCCAGCTCCCGCCGGGCCTCCCGCACTGCCTCGTGGAAGACGTGCTGCACGTGCTCGAAGTCCAGGCAGGCAGAGACCTCGAAAAAAGGGCACTTGAACCTGCCTGCTAAGGCCGCGCCCTCTGCCTCAGTGACCTGCCTGGTGGGGAAGCAGGGCGAGAAGGGTCAGGCACATGCATCCAAGTCAGGCTGGCCTGGGCTACCCCGGGTCCCCACGTAACTCACTCAGTGATTAGGGCTCATTGTCATCTCTCTGAGGTGCAGTTTTCTCAGTAAAATGGGATGACATTTGCCTCTCAGAGTTGTGAAAAGCATTAAGAACAACAATTTGTGTCAAGTGCACAATACCTAGCACAGAGTCAGTGCCCACAATGGTGTCTGATGTCACCAAAGCCAGAAGCTGGCCAAAGCCCCCATGCTAGCCCTGTCTGTGGGCAGAGAAGCCCCATTTCTCCTCTATTCCGATGTTGGTCCCTGGCACAGGAAAGGAGTCACCCTCAGCCTTGTCTTGTGGGATCAGCGCTAGTGAAAGGCAGTGGTCTGAGCTGAAGAGTGAGAGACCACAGGGTCTACAGAGGCATGGAGGGCTGAGGAGACTCGGAACACCTGTGCTGGCAGGGCTCTCAGGGTTCGTGGGGGTTTTGTCTGCCTGCCCAGGAAGGGGCAGAGAGAAAAAGGGTGACAACATTCTATGGGTGGGGAGGAAAAGCAGAGAGGGAGTAGACCATGCCCAGCTTGGTCTTATACCGTCTCCCCTGATGGTGGGATTGAATATTGATCAACAGGAAGGTCCTGGAAGCTTTTGACCTGAAAGCCGCAAGAATCCAGGTGAGAGGAAAAATAAGTCTAACTCTTGAGTATGTCAGAAGAAGGAAGGCACGGGGCCTCAAATACCTGTCCAAATTTCCAGTGACTAAATCCCACTGCTAAGTGGTCCCACCTCCCACTCCTGCCATGGCTGAGGACAGTGGCATTGCGCTTGGGGTAAGAGCGGATGAGGGTGGGCGCTTGTGGGAAAGGGGAAACTGGCAGGTGCTGGGGTTGGGGGTGGGTGGGCTAGCTGTCCCAGGAGTATCAAGAAGAGAGAGTCCCTAGGATTTACAGGGTTGAGGATAAGCATCTAATCCACTCCCCACGCAGGCTGGTGTTCTATCTGTGAGTTCCTGATGAGCCCCAATTGAAATAATAGCTGGTATCATTTAATTTTATGATGAGCTTTAACCTGCAACTCTGTCATTGTGAGGCTTGAATATGAATTTTCAGAAACAAGGACCCTCGTATGCATGCACGTGTGTGAATAGGCGACACAGACATGAAATAATGTTTTTTTTTTCTAATTTTGTTGCAGTCTAGTGATAATTTTTTCAGTGGTATGGGAACCACTGCTCTCGTCCACATTTTATCCTCTAGCTGCAAAGCACTCACTAACACTCTACTGAAAGTTAGATGTATTGTACCCAGTGCATCCTGATCTAGTAGCCTTGGGACATCATCAAAGAAAGAAGTGAGGATAAATCGTCCTGACTTCTTCTTAAAGGATGCTGCTGCTGTGTTTGAGGCCCATAATCTTTGTTATTTTCTCCTAAACCAATTTTATACAATCCATTTGGCAAAGATTAGGATCAAAACAGTGGTCTAGAGTTTTTCCTCATATCAAAACCATGCTTATTCACAATCAACACCTCTGACCCCGCTCCTTGGCTCTGCAGGCTCTGTGATTCCTCCCAGACCACCTTTTGGCTGCCTCATTGCCTGGAACATGTTTGGGTCTGGAGGCTTGACAGCCTGTGAAGTCCCCTACTGTTGCCTTAAGGAGACAGCACCCTCCTTTTCCTACTACCCATCTGACCTGTTCTATACCAAGCACCTATACTTGATAATACCAATCAACAGGCCCTTAGGGCTTGGGGGTGCAGGAGTGACTGGCTGACCCTAAACAGAAAGGCACCAACAAAAGACTGGTGAAAGGGGCCACACCTTGTGAGTGGACTGGCCAATAGATGGCCAGTGCAATTACTCATCGGGTGGAAAGACCAAAGTCTCTAATGCCTCAAGGGCCAGGCAGGCAACCTGAATGTGTGGTCACCATGGAGGTAAGAAGTGCGGCGTTGTGAGGCCTGTGGTCACCTGGTGAAAGCATGCCCTGTCTAGTAGGTAACACTGCTGGCCGAGTAAAATATGGCTGCAGACTCAGTGATAACCTGCCCTTTGGCCCAGTCTGTGACTTCTGACTCAGACTCAACCCTTGTAGAAGAATCTGCCCAATGGTGGGGGTGAGGAGGAAAGGCATGTTTGGGAGAGGTGAGAGCTGATTGCACCAGAGCCAGTCACCTAACCCAAAGAGCCTATCACAGCCTCTCCCCAGAATAGGAACTGGCTGAATCACCAGCCAGCTGCAGGGAGTGGGAAGGCAAGGCCATGGAAGCAGTGGCCTCTGTTCTGAATTTGGGGTCCAGCCCCAGTGTGGTCCAGATGCCCTGCGCTCTGTCCTTGGCTGGTGGGAAGACCACATCACTATACCCTTACGCCACATCTCTTTTAAATGTGGGCGATTACTATGCTTCCTGAAGATGACACTGGGCCTTTTCAAATGAGATGACTCAACTCCTAGACAGGGAACAAACTGCCCAGTGCTCACCTGTACTGTGCCATGTCCAACTTGTTGCCCAGAAGCAGCGCCGGGTAGCTGCGCTGTGTCTCCTTGGCGTGCAGAGCGAGCATCTCCAGGTAGCTGCTGCTGCCTTCAAAGCTCTGGCGGCTGTCGACGCTGTACACCACCAAGAAGGCGTGGGCCCAGTTCAGGTAGCGCTCACAGTTCCTGGGAGTGTCCTGGGGGCAAAAGGGGAAGCCCAGGTCAAGGGAAGAGCAGGTCAGGGTGAAGGTCTTCACCTGTGTGGCTCCATCTTACCTCCCCACCCCTCCTGTCTTTGTACATTGTTCCCCACGTTGCCCTTTTCAAAGGGGCACTTGAGTGTGGACTTGGCTTGCTGTGAAAGGAGACATTGTGTCATGAGCCTCCCTCCTACCACCCTGCCAGAGACTTGGAGACCTTGGCCTCTAGGGCATGAAGCCAAGGCTCTGGCATGGCCCCTACAGAGATCTGACTGTCCCTGAGCACCCCTGGCTTTGAGCTGGGTGCATGGTGCCTCTTTGGCTTCTGAGAATAACTGGCATCCAGTCTTGGCAGAGGGGTGTCGAAGCTAGAAGGGATATGTGTATGTGGGTGGGGGGACTTGGGCCGCCGGAGCCTCTATAAACGTGTGCGTGCACCTGTCTTTGTGTGTGCAGAAGCATGAAGCCCTAGAGCACAGGATGCCAGAGATGATGCCAGCAATCACTAGGTCTCCCCAGACCCCTCACTCCCTACTTTGACAAATGAAGAGATTCAGGTCCAGAGAGGTTAGCACCTCATTCAGGGACTCAAAGCAAACTAGGACATGCGTTCCCATCTAAGGGGCCCAGAACTTTTCAGGAGGCTGCATTGCTTCTCAGCTCTTAATGGGCCATGAGGGTAATATTACCGGGTCTGCAGTGTCCATGACCCTCAGGTGGACAGGCTGGTGGTCCACGGTCTCCTCGGAGCTGTAGGTGTCCTCTGCAACACAGACAGCCAGCTAGGTCAGAGGCAGCCTGGGTCACTGGGTTGATGGGGCTGAGGCTGAGTTCTCCTCTGCTGGATGCCTGTGTGGCCCTGCAGAATCTGTTCCAGGGCTGGCTGACCTGGGACCACTGTTGAGGCCTTGGCTCTCATTCACTGGGAGGACATGGACAGGACTTCCTACTGAGTTGCTGCTCTACCTGTCAGGCTCAGAGCATCAACAGTCACTTGTAGACCACGCCACAGGGACTGTGCTGTGGGTCTGCCCACCAAGCCGCAGGACAGGGTATGAGGCTCACAGTGAGCAGCGGAGGCCTCATTTGATGCCCTGCAGCCCCCACATCCCCGTGCTTCCGTACCCCCTTCCCTCTGATCACAGTACTTGGCCTCCAAGATCTCCAGGACAATCCCCAGTCAGAGAAGAGATGGGAAAAGAGAAGTGCACAAGATGAAGGGTTGGGGGTGGCGGGGGAGGTCAGGCCCCATCTAGAAGTCCTGGAAAGTATTTACAGGTAATCCTTGTCAAAATATCAGTAGAGGAGTCTAGTGTCGTTGAAAGAGTTCGGTGGGAGATGTGGAATCAAAGTCTACTATAGCTACTTTTCAGCTGTGTGACGTGGCCAAGTTATTTCAGCTCCCCAAGGTTCTGCATCTTCCATTGAAAATGGGGATCTTATGATAACCATTTGCTATGATAACGTTGCTAACAGTTGCTGTGCCTCTGGTACAGGCCAGAGGTGCAGGGGAGGTGAGAGGCTTCACCAGAGACAGTGGGGAGCAGAACAGGCAGATCTACGAAGTACACTGCTGAGGGGAGCAGCGGGCGGGCCAGGAGAGGTCTGCTGCGCCATGTGGGTCACCTCGGGGGCAAGTGGGGATCGAACTCGCACTGAAGCAGCTGTGGCCAGCTTGCAGTGTTGCGTCCTAACCCTTTGCGCCACCAGGGAGGGCCTGCTAACAGTTTTTAAGCTTCTACTCTGTGCCAGGCACTGTGTTACATGCACATTCCCGCATAGCCCACCGGCTGCATGAGGACTGGAGGGTGCCAAGCCTGGGGCCTGCCCACCATAGCACCTCGTTTTCTACTGTTTTGTTTTTTTTTCATAGCACCTGGTTTTATAGGACAAGTGGGGGCCATGACATTGTAGACACAAGGCCCAGACCAGGTTCACATTCCTGGCTGCTTTTTTTTTTTTTTAACTTTTTATTTTGAAATAATTTTAGACTCATGTAGAAGTTACAAAATAGTACAGACAGTTCCTGTGTACCCTCCCTTCAGCTCCTCCCAATGTTAACACCTTACATAACCAAAGTACAATGATCAAAACCAGGAAACTGACATCCTTACCATATTATGGAGTAAGCTGCTGACCTCATTTGGATTTCATGAGTTTTTACTTCTTTTATACTCCCACCCTCCCTCCTCTTTTTCTCTCTCCCTTCTTTCCTTCTTCTTCTTTCTTAAAATCAGTTCTTATGCCCTTGAACCTGAGAAAGCAGCAAACAGCCAGGTATGCAAAGAGGATCTCACAGCCATACTAGCATCACCTACCTACCCCCAAGCTGCCCCGGACCCCTAGGCCTTTACCTGGGCACCGCTGTGGCCAGAGAGGAAGACATTTCTGGTCAGAACCGACCCTCTCTGCCTTCCTGGCAGCAGTTCTATGAGAAGAGCACCCCCAACCCTGGCTGAATTCAGTCCCACACATCTCTCTAAGGGCCACTGGCAGCCAAGCCAGGCCTGGATATCTTCCAGGTCCTCTAGCAGCCAGTAGGAATCACAGACAGCTCCCATCCCAGCCTGCTCTGAGGGCTTGGATAAATAGCTGCTCTTATTCACAGACAGAAAAAAAATCTAATGGAAAATATGTCCCAAATGTTTAACTATATTTGGTCCAAGAAGAGCTACCCCAGTTGCCTACATCTCGTTCAGATTTGTCTTTATTTTCCTGCCAGTGTTGTTTGATGTGCGCATCCTTTTAGGCTTACCACAGCCTCCTGTCCCCCAAACAGGCCCAGCCAAAGGAAAAATATTAGCTCAGCCTTGATATCCAGTAGTCCTTCACAGCATTGCTGTTAGCCCCACTGTAGAGAGATCGGGGAGGTGGGGCCAGAGGAGGGGGGAACTCATCCTCCGTCACACAGCAACTGCTACTATCCTTAGCATAGAAGGAACTGGAACTCGGATGGTTAGGCTAGGCTGCCTTTCCACAGGGACCCCTCCCAGGCTCTGCTCCCCTTTAATGCTGACAGAATATACCTTTCCTATGTATTATTGTTTATAGTAATAATAATTTTTAAAGAGCACCAAAGGAGTTCTTTGGTGTATAAAATGGTGCTTGTGTTGTCAGTGGAGCAGGAAGGAGAGAAGAGAGCTGAGAAGAGCCATCCTTCTGTCTGGGTAAAGTGGGCAAGATCCCCCAGCCTCTCTGTGACAAGAAGCTGTTCCAGGGACACCCACCCTGAGGTGCTCAGCACAGGTACAGAGTCTCTCAGCTCCTACCAGCTGGCACAGTCACGACCCCTAACAAGGCATAATTGAGACAGGCCACAGTCTACCAGCCCATCTGCCAGATTGGGAAACTGTTGCTGAGGGAACTCAGTGCCACACAGGTCTCTGACCCCAGGCTCTCCACACATAGGTTGCCTTTAGTGGACAGCATTAGGAATGGTGCTCTGTCTTCCATTTTTTGAGGTTCTGCATGATCTTAGGCAGATCATGGGGGCCTCTATGCTGCAGTTTCTCTATCTGTATGTTGGAATGACAATAGGAGCTCTTCTTCAAAGGGTAATCCTAAAACCCAGATTCAAGCTCATGGTTAAGAGCATCTATGGTGGGCTGCGTGCCTGCTCGGAATGGGAACATATAACACAGGTATCCACCCTCGAGAGGCTTCCCTTGAGCTCAAGCTCTTGGAAGACCTTTGCAAAGGGCCAAACACTGCTTTATCTATATGGCTACTTTCTCCACAGAAGGAAAAGCTCTAGGCCCTCAGTCCTGCTATTGCTGAAACTAGTGTTCAGATAGCAAGACAGAACTCCCAAAGATTGGCACTGGCCTCCCAGAGCACCTGAGGAGAGAGTGTCTGGCCCTTGTTTCAGTTCACAGGTCCTCAGGGTGGAGTGAGAGACCAGAGGCTGAGGTGACTAACCACTGCAGGGCTGGGTCCCCCCACCACCCCAGACAGTCTGACTATGCATTCCACTACCAGGCAGAGCTCCAAAATTACTTAATCAGGAAGCTCAAACCACCACAGTTGTAGGGTCCTCTGGTGGGACTCCATGTAAGAGGATGGATGAGGGGCAGGGAAGATGAGAGAACAGAGGCAGGTTGCCAGAAAAAATACAGAATGCCCATTTAAATTGAATATCAGATAAAGAATGAACAATTTTCAGTTCAAAGAGGCCCTATGCGATATTTGAGCTAGGCAGAATCTTTCTTTTGAGGCATCATTTTTGGGAATCTTCATTTCCTCCCTCCCTCCACTCTTCTGTCCCTCCACTCCAGCTGACTGCCTATTCTAGTCCCTCTCACCAACTTCCCCCGCCAGCACACACAACTCATTGTGTCTCACTTTCTGGAGCGTTGATCAAATAGGCTCTCCTCAGACCTGCTGTCTGACCTTGACCAGAAGCCTCAGTTCCAAAAAGGTTGTGTCGAAGCACGGGTGGTGGTACCAAACCCCTTAGGGGCTACCTGTGAGTGACTTGCCCTGTGCCCCTGAGGTAACTGGGGGCTCCCATTACTTCCTCTGTTTGGTAGCCTGGGGGCTCTATTTAAGATTTTCTTGGAAGAGAGCATTCTGCTACTTCAAGAAAAAGTTCTAATCCCTGGGATTCGACCCTCCAGCCTGCACTGAGGAGCTGTCGGGGCCCAGGGCCAAGGGGCTCATTCCTCAGGGGTCATGGAGGGACCCCATCAGAGGCCTGCTGCAGAGCACGCTGTGTTGTGGAGGATTCCAAGCTGTGCCCCAGAGCCCTAGGCTTCCTGCAAGGGTCCTGAGGATCCCACAAATCCTTACTCAATTCTTATGAATAGAAAAAAATAATCCAAGACTGCAACCCTCATTTGCTAAAGACTAAGAACATCCGGATATCCCATTTTTCTCAGTGGACAGTTTACAACAAACACATGTGATAAATGTGAACTTTAAGTTATATTTATGTTAATAAAATTCTGCTTTCATTTGTTTTCGATATTGAGTTTCTATGTCAGAGGTTGTTTGAAGAATGGGTACTGTGGCTAAAGATAATTTTCAGAAAGGCTGATCTGATTAATCTGAGGGATTCTCAGTCACCATAGATGGAAAACCCAATTGAGGCAGATGGATAAGAAAGAAGTGAATATGCTTTGAGGTGTTACTGTGTGTCAAGTACTATAGGCTTGGCCATTTACATGTGTATTGCTTTAATTCTCATACTAATTCTCTGAAATAGGTATTTTTATGCCCATTTACAGACAAGGAAATGGAAGCTCAGAGAGGCGAGGTGACTACTTCAGATTGCACAGCTAATACATGGCAGAGCCAGGCTTCAAAGTCAGCTCTGACTGGTACCAAAGCATCCCTTTTCCTGAAAGGGCTAAAAAACAAGACTGCTTTTTCATGTGGCTCACAGAGTTAGCTTAAAAGATCAGAAGCCAGTAACACTAGAGACTTTCCCAAATGACTGGCTGGCTTTTCTGGAAAAGTATACTGAGTACATCTTGAAGAACATCACTTGAGGGATGTGAACAATTCTGATTTTTTTCTGTTTAATTTTTTTTTAAGTCTCATCATATATCATATCTTAGGGAAAATCAGCCTCTCTCAGTTCTCTGAACTAGGCCAACCCCCAAGTTTGTCTGGGTAAGCTGTGGAAGGGTATACTTCTGGCACTTAAAATATTTTGCTCCATGAACTGAGTCATCCTGGTGGTAGCTCCCCACCCCTCACCCCCCAAGATGTGCAGTCCTGGGTCCTCTAGGTGTGTAGTATAGGTAGACGAGGGGATTTCCAAATGGGGAACAGCAGGAGGGGGGGCAGTGGTTCCTTACCCAAGTTGGGGTCATATTCGCTGATAAACCTCCTGGTCAGAAACTTCACAGTGAGGGCTGCAAGAAGCAGAGAGAAGATGGCTCAGTCTCCCTTGCCTTGTCTGCCTGCAGGAACCTTCTCCTCTTGTCTTAGGGAGGCTGTGTCTAGCTTCTGTGCCCCATCACTGACACAAACTGGCACTCTGGAGGAGTGAGGCCAGGGAGCTGAGGGGTGGGTTTGAGTAGCTCAGAAGTCAGAATTATGGAAAGCCATGTTCCTCCAGTTCCACTGTAGGATTTTGTTATCATTATTTTTGTTGTTGTTATTATTAACAGCAAGGAAACCTGAAGGGTGCTTGTGAAGGTCATATTTCAGTGGTCAGAGTCCAGGCAATCAGTTACCTTAAGGTCAGCTTGGTGAGATCGCAAATGAAGACATCCCTCACCCTGGGCAAGTTCATAAAGATTCTGAAACCTGGGGCACTTGTTCCAGCTTTGAATAGATACCAAAGAGAGAGTTAGCAGAGTTAGCCAGTAGGTAATCCTGAGGTTGGCCTGAACCCCCAAGTGCCTGGAGTTCTAGAACAGTTCTCCACATCTTAAGTCTCCCTTAAGTCCAGGGACACCTACACTCTTTGTGGGTATCTTGCAGAATGTATATCTCTAACATGGAAGTTCTCCCCAGTTGAAATGCATTCACAGGACCAATTTTGCTCAGAATTTCACCACATAAAGTCAATGGCCAGCCAGCTAATTACATTGGACTCTTAAAAAGTAATGCGATACTTTAAAGAAAATCCTTAAAATTCTTTCCCAGGATTCCTACCAGTGTCAGTTTGCAAACTAATTCCCAGGGAAGACAGATTTTAAAATTTAAATTCCTTCATTTGTGTATAAGTCACTGACTAAACTGTGTATAGTCACTGACTAAACTGTGTATAGTCACTGACTAAACTGTGCCAGAGACACAGCTAACAATTTGAATTTCAAAAAAGAAAGGGCAAAGCTTTTCTGTAGGAAACCATGATCAGTGCCCCCTCTGTGAGCCAGGGGGCTATTTCAAAAGTGGAGAGTAGATCCCCAGTGACTTTCAAAGGACACTCCGGGGAAGGACATGCATAGCTGAGTCCTTGGTGGCTGCACACTAATGGCTTAAATTGGAAACCAGCCAGTGGAAGATCCCCTCTCTGCTCTCCCACTGTCAGCTGCCTGGGAATGCCAGTAGCCCCTGGGCCCTTTTTCTGCGTCCTAATCTAAGTTGACACCTTAACCCACTCCTTCCTGAGCTCCAGTGGGTAAGAGCTGACACAGAGTGGTGAAGGCAGAGCTCAGTGTTCATAGAAATGATCTCAACGGAGACCCCAAATCCTGGTTCAAGGACAAGTCCCAGCCACCTGGAACCATAGTCCAAAGTGTTTCCAGAAAAATCAAGGGAGGGAGCTGACTGAAAACAAATACATTTGATAAGAATGCAGGCTTTGTTCCAGAATCCCAGCTAATTGAGATGGGGAGTGGGTAGTGCACCCCACCCCCATCCCAGCAGCCAGTGACTGCTACCAGGGCCTCTTGGGACCATGGGTTCCCTCACCCTCCGTCTAAAACAGGGAGTAGCAAGGCTGCAACTAAGCTAATAGGGGTCCTGGACTGGGAATCAGCGCCTAACAGGTAAGTACCTTTGGCGCCAGCCACCATGGCTCACTGCTAGTCTCAGGGAGAGGATCTGGGGGGTGGAGGTCGACTGCGAAAGAGCATCAGCCAGGGACTGGGAGACACAGACACCACCAGAGGAGAGACAGTTGTGGTCACAGACCAGAGGAGCACCGCAGCGGAGAGCCAAGCAATGGAAAAACGAAGGCAAAGTCTAGCACGGTGTCTTGCCCAACTTACCTGAGTGCAGGGAGCCCCCCAAAGCCAGCGGAAGAGCCTGCCTGCAATCTACAACCCCAGCTTCTTCCACCTGCATCCCGTCTGTGGGTTCCCTTCCCTCCAGCCCTCAGCCCTACTCACCGGACTTGCCCACCCCGCGGCGCCCCAGGATGACCAGGTTGACCTCGAGGGGTGCGCTCTGCGGCCCGCTGCCAGCGCGGGGTTTCCCGAACACTGAGGACATGGCGACGCTGCGGCGGGGCACACAGGCTCGCCGCTGGTCGAAGGGCCCCGAGCAGAGCGCCACCAACCCCCGCCCGTCGGGGCCCTCCGGAGCGAGGCCCCGGCTCCTCTGCACTCAAGGTGCGATACCGGGGTGATTCGCGCCCCAGGCCCAGCGCCGAGACCCGAGTGGGCTGCGTCCCTGTGGCCGGCGGGCCCGGCTGGGAGGTGGGGCCGCGAGAGCCCGGCGGGCGGGGCTGCTCCGAGCACCGCCAAACTCCTTGTAAGGACTGCAGGAGCCCCCCGCCGGGCAAGCTCCCTGCGCTCCCCGCCAGGAGAAAGCTTGGGCCGGTCGTGCCCCCCAACCGTCAGGCTGGGCTTCAAGGACTAGGGAGCCTACAAGTCTATCTGGAGGGCCCCAAGTCCCGGACAGGGGAGGACCAGGACTGGAGAGAGGAAGCCAACAAGAAAATACGGCCACTGCAGCACAGTTTCAATCCCTTGCCGGTAAGAGGTGGGGGTGGAGGGCCTCCATGGCTCAGCGGACCTCTCCTGTCTCGCCGGTTGCTCCCCTCAGCAGTGTACTTCAGTACATCTGACTGTTCTGCTCCCCACTGCCTGTGGTGAATCCTCTCACCTCCTCTCACGCCACCCTATCTATTTATGCTCTTGTGTGCATAAATAAATAAATATTTAAAAAAAGAAAAGAAAAGAAAATTCACCAGACCCTTTGTTCCATTCAGCTGGCCTGCTTCCTCCTCCAGGAAGTCTGCCTGGTTGAGCTGCACACTCTGTTCATTCTTTAGGTCAAAGCCAGCTTAGCCTTGACACTCTGCATCAAGATATCTAATCCGTCTGTATTACTATTTCTCCCTAGTGAAAGCCTATAAATTGCATGGTTTTTGTAGACTAATGTGAAAATGGAACGTTTTATCTATTCTAAAACCTGGCGCTCCCTCCTGCTTATCATGATTCTGGGATGGTTGGGGGAGCCTGGCAGGGGTGATCTACATTCCCTCTGGGAGCCAGGGTAAATCTAGTCATGCTGGAGACGGGGCAAAGGGCCCATAGGGAATCCGGACACAGGATCTAGTGTCAGCTCTTCCATTGGGTGACCTTCAGCAAATCACCTCATTCTTGTGTCCCCATCTATAAAACTAAAGGAAAGGGAAGAGGAAAATCAACCCCAAATTCCTCGGACCTAATAGAGAGTGATAGTGATAGAATCAGCCTTGGGCTCCAGGCCTAAGTACGTCCTAGAACCTCAGGGATCTCTTTTGGAACACATTCCAGGCTAAAATGGGGAAAGGCATAGGGGTCTCAGAGCCCCTCACAACCCTTCCCTCTCCAACCTTAAGCCCCTCTCCATACCTCTGCCAATCTAATGACCCACATATATGCAGAAACCATAAAAACTCAGGTGGGAGGGGGGTTGAGAGAGCCATTCCAGAACTCGATGTTAATAACTCCACCAAGAATGAAATTTTCCAGGACAGGACATGAATATTTACTCAACCTAACTGTATTTCTGGGAGATCATAGTACTCCAGCTGTGTTTGGTGGTGGGAGGAAATTGTCTAGGTTACACCCTCAGGTTACAGTCACTCAATGGGTTTTCCTTTGAGTTGTGGGAGAAGAGAAATTGGGAGCCAAGTCCAGCTATATATTTGATCTGGCCACAGTCCTGTGAGGACCTACTGGTTCTGGTTGGTGTCTATGGGGGACAGAACCAGTCTCATGGAAGGACTGCTAGAGAGAAAGCAAGAATTGGACCTCACAGGCCCAATCAGGTATAAACCTGGGTTCTGCACCTTACCTGTTTGTGTGGTACTGGGAGAGTGATTTTACTGATCTTAACTCTGACTAGCCTGTCAGTGGGAGCTGGGAGAGGAGGGCTCCTGCTCAGTATGAAGGTGAGCTCAGATTGTATGAGCTGTCCATAGTTGGAAGGGACTCTCTTTGGAGGAAGTAAGCCCCCCAACATTAAGACAACCAAGATGGAGAGTGACTTCAAGGTTGTAGAAGAGATTCCATGATGATCTGCAAGATAGGACAAGAAGGCTCTTAATTCCCTTCTACTTCAGAATTATTTGGATTGGTTGCCAACTGGCTACCCAGGATCTCAGCTCACTACCCAAAGTCTTCTTTTCAGGGGGTCCAGAAGAAAGTATTGACCTCATAACTGTGATCAGTCCCTCCCCCCATCCTCAGTCTCATCTGAGCTGTTTGTCCAGCATCCAGAGTACCCCTTGTGGACTAGAAAGGCCTTCAGAATCAGTTACTGTGAATCCCTGTAATTAGCAACATTGCCCTTCTGGACATCAGTTCCTCATCTTTAAAACAGGAATAATAATAAGGTCTAGATAACATGCAAGAGGCCCACCAGAGCCCAGTCCATAGTCCAAAAATGCAAATGATATTTCCCTTCCCCTGTACATAAATAGCACACACTTCTCACCCATCTACCAAGACGCCACAATTGTTTAGTAACCAGAACTTTGGGTACTTCAGGTCAAGATAAAGGCTATTCTGTTGAAGTAAGCAGCCCAATTCTCCTTACTACCCACCCCCCAAACCTGTCACCTTCACGGTTCTTATAGCAGAGTCTCAAGCCCTTAAAATACAGAGAATATGGGACCTGACTAAGAAATAGGCATACAGCAGGTGCTCAATAGCTGTTTCTGGAGGGAACAAGTTGAGCATGCACAGGTGTAAGCAGGCAGGACCTGTGATGCCCCGCAAAGCCACACATCATGCTAAGCCTTTGGGTCTCCTTGGCAATGTCACTACATTCCCTGGAACCACATGATAACTACCTCTGTAACCGGTGGTCCCCAGGAAAACCTATTTAGAATAGGCAATTTGGGGGTTCAGGGAACACTTCTATAGTTGTTTGGTGATAAATTCAGGTGTCAAAGCTAAAAGGAACACTAGAAAGCAGACCCACATTTCATTTACAGATAAGAACTGCGGTCCAGAAAGGTTGGGTAGACTTTGCAAGTCAGGAATGGTACCAGCATCAGAGCCCAGCAGGAATCCTGACTCCTGGTCCAGTGGTCTTCCATTTTCATGTCCAGGCAACTTTTATTACTCCTTATTACTACTCTCTAAGCAGAAACACCACCATACATGACAAAGAGCAGCACCTCCCCACCCCACCCCAGGGCAGAGGTCATGTCTTTTCCATCAGATTGGATTCTCTCCTGGAACAGTGGTTGTTTCTTCTTTATTAGACTGGGGACTGCTACTTAGTTAGGAACCAGAAATGCACTTTATAGATAGATCCCTTAACTCATGCTCTCTGCAGATAGAGATGAACAAGGCTGGATGTGTGCTCTGTCTAGAAAGATGCTAAGAGTCAGACACAGGGCTCCATTTCCTGCCCTGCCCCCAACCTCACACAGTGTGGTGAGTGCAAAGTGGAGAGGGAAGTTAGTTGGTGCAGGGTCGGGCAGGGCCTGGGAACTCTGTGGGCTGCCCATAGCCAGTATATTTCCTTGTCCTTTCCAAGTCCCAGAGGGACACTCACTGTCGGAGAGGAAGAAACTCATTAGCTGCAGACAACATCCCACCAGGGTCTCAGAAGCAGGGCCAAAGAGTTGAGTTGAGGATTAGCCTGAGAACCATGACCCCTCACCAGAGATGACCCCTCCCCACTGCCTGGCTGCTGGGGTGGGAGCTGGATGTGTGCACTAGCCAGGCCCAGTTCACTTGCCAGGGCCAAAGCTGAGAAAAAAATGGGCCCGGGTGCCAGCTTCAGTCAAGGGGGCTTCACTGTCTCCCCCAGGTAGGGATTCCATCTAGTTGTGCTTGTCAGTTACTAAGTGCTTGGAACAAGTCATTTGGGAGGGAACTGAAGCCACCTGGTGTCAGACCCTCCCTTCCTAAAGTCTATCCCACAGCTTGAGCCTGATGGGAGGAGCTCGAGCCTAATGGGAGGCAGCTGTTTCCTTCCTGAGACTAGGTCAGAGCAGGTTAGGAGGGCAGGTGGACTGGGACATAACCAAGGAAAAGCTCATGGCTTCTGCAGGCCTTCTTTGTCCAGGTGTGAAATGAGAACAGTTTCTGTCTCCAAAGACCCCTAGTAAGGACAGGTCATAAATGGGCACGGCAGAGTCACTTTCCTCCAAGAGGGGGACTGTCATGCCTGCTGTACAGATGTTCCAGGTCCTCTCAGCCAATGTCTGATCTCAGAGAAACAAAGAAGTTGGCAGAGGGCCTGGGATAGTATTTATGGGGACTCCTGCCTACCCTCTCCATCTCTTTCCTCCTCCTCTTCCTGTCTAGTCCCTGGGGCAGAGTATCCAGGATATTTCTAGCTGCCTTCTTCAGGCCTCTGGCTTCCCAGGCCCCACATTGGTCCCCACATCCCAGCCCTGCTGTAATGGAATGAACTGGGTGGGAGTTCCCTGGCAGGGGAGACACATTTGTGAATGCAGATGTATACATGATAATGTGTGCATGAGTGTGTCCCTAGGATGGAGAGAACTCACCCTCCAACTCTGGCTTTGTCATTGTGTTCTCATTCATCCTCCAGAAGAACGGTGGTGATCGACTAGCCCTGGGCCTCTCCACCTGCACAATGAAGTGACAAGAAAAGAAAATCATTATGCTCCCTTCCACCTGCTACTGTAGGGCCCTAGTCTAAGCTATTCACCTCGGAAATTTCTGTGAAGATGGAAAAGTGTTCTGGGGTGGGCAGCAGAAAGCTCGGGCCTGTCTGCACCAGGCTACCTGGTTCCCCTGGAAATTCTCATTCCCAACCTCCAACCTTCACTGTAAAAGAAGGGGTTGTACCACATGAGCCTCCAGTTCCTTCTGGGACCTCCTGACACCAGGTGACTGCCCAACATTTATAGCATGGAGAGGTGGCAGAATGCAGTAGCTAGGGACAGAGGCTCAGATTGGCTGCATGACTGTCCTAGTTCTACTACTCTATGGTTATGTGACCTTGGGCATGTAACTAGACATCTTGGTGACTAGGTCTCTTCATCTGTGAAAGGGTGGCATAATAATATCTAAACAGTGTTACTATAATCAAAAAAGGATAACACCTATGAAGGATAACAACAGTATCTACTCACAAGATAGTTGGATTATAGGAGTTAAAGTGCTTATCCACATGGTGCAATTCAAGTGTTAACACGTTTACTTCAAGAAAACTTTCTCCTTCCCATCTGCATATAGTGCCCTCAGCAGCCCCACTTTTCTTTTCCAAAGGTCTGGATCTACACTGCAATGAAGGATCTTGGCAACTGGAACATAGACATTAGCTTTCCAGCCCACCCCAAGTCAGGAAGCCCTTGGGCATTCAGAGTTTACTGGATGCTCACCTGTTGCCCTCCCATTTTTAAAGGGAAAGAAGATATTGAATGAGCTGTGTCTGGGGCAGATACCCAGACCAATTTAGAACCCAGCTGTGGACGCTGGTCCCTTCTCTTTGTTCCATCTCTGCCGCTACTTCCAATGGCCAAGTAATAGTGCCCACTCCCTGCCCCTGCCAGTCGGTAGATGCAGTGGGCTAGGCATTAATCCTGTCCTGGCCCCTTCCCAGCTGAATGATCTTGGATAAGTCATGTAAAGCCTCATTCCAAACACTACAGCTAGTGTCCTAATATATAACATAGGTGCTGTTACTGGTCCCAATTTGAGGGAAAAAAAAAAAAGGGGGCCAGATTTAGGGTACTTAAGGTGTATACATTTGGCTCAGTGCAGGTATTCTATGGGCTCATTTTGTAAGCTGTCCTCACAGTAGTTGACCACCAGCAGGTGATCAGTATACGGTCACTATTACCACTATTTTTCATTCGGAAGCGAGTGACCCAGCAGGTCTCCAATGCCCTCTGGTCGAGTGGCCATCCAGCCTGTCGGCCACCACATCACATGAGCGGTACTATCTTTAGAAAGGGAGATATTTATAGCCCCCGGGGAAGGTTTATCCCCCCTTCCTGCCCCACAGTCGGTGGCTGCTGCCTTGAGAGCCCCCAGAGGCAGCCTCTCTACCTCTCTGGCTCGCCATGCCTCGGGGCCCGGAGGTCCCGGTGCAGGTGTGGGTGGACAGCCAGCTCTTCCAGGCAGACCAGGCCTTGCTGGTGGAGCATTGCGGTTTCTTCCGGGGCCTTTTCCGCTCCGGCATGCTAGAGACGCGCGCGGCCGAAGTGCGCCTGGGCGCCCTGAGCGCAGGCGGGTTCCGCACCACGCTGCAGGTGCTACGCGGAGAACGACCCGCGCTGACCGCGGCCGACGAGCTGCTGCAGGCGGTGGAGTGCGCCGCCTTCCTGCAGGCGCCAGCGCTGGCGCGCTTCCTGGAGCACAGCATCACGTCGGACAACTGCGCGTTGCTGTGCGACGCAGCCGCCGCCTTCGGCCTGCAAGAAGTGTTCCACAGCGCGGCGCTCTTCATCCGAGACGGCGCGTGCGAGCTGGCGGCCGAGCTGGCGCTGCCCGAGGCCCGCGCCTACGTGGCGGCGCTGCGGCCCAGCAGCTACGTGGCCCTGAGCACTCACACGCCCGCCCCGGGTTTCCTGGAGGACGCGTCGCGTACGATGTGCTACCTGGACGAGGAGGCGGACGCCTGGCGCACGCTGGCCACGCTGCCCCTGGAGGCCAGCACGCTGCTGGCGGGCGTGGCCACGCTGGGCAACAAGCTCTACATCGTGGGCGGTGTGCGGGGCGCCAGCAAGGAGGTGGTGGAGCTGGGCTTCTGCTACGACCCCGACGGCGGCACGTGGTGCCAGTTCCCCAGCCCGCACCAGCCGCGCTACGACACGGCCCTGGTCGGCTTCGATGGCCGCCTCTATGCCATTGGCGGCGAGTTCCAGAGGACCCCCATGAGCTCCGTGGAGTGCTACGACCCGGCCGCAGGCCGCTGGAGCTTCATGTCTGACCTGCCGCAGCCCGCGGCCGGCTCGCCCTGCGCCCAGGCGTGTGGCCGCCTCTTCGTGTGTCTGTGGCGACCGGCCGACACCACGGCTGTGGTGGAGTACGTGGTGCGGGCGGACACGTGGCTGCCGGTGGCCGAACTGCGGCGTCCGCAGAGCTACGGTCACTGCATGGTGGCCCACCGCGACAGTCTCTACGTGGTGCGCAACGGACCTTCCGATGACTTCCTGCACTGCGCCATCGACTGCCTCAACCTGGCCACCGGCCAGTGGACGGCGCTTCCCGGCCAATTTGTCAATAGCAAGGGAGCGCTCTTCACCGCGGTCGTGCGTGGGGACACCGTCTACACCGTCAACCGCATGTTCACGCTGCTCTATGCCATCGAGGGGGGCACTTGGCGGCTGCTCAGGGAGAAGGCCGGCTTCCCACGGCCAGGTTCCTTGCAGACATTTCTTTTGCGGCTGCCGCCTGGCCCCCAGGGGCCTGTGGCCTCCTCTACTCCAGAGCTGTGAACCCAAGGGTTTGAGAGGAGATGGCCCAAGTCATTCCTAAGCCATGGCTGAATCTGAGAGCCTGGCCATAGGAGGTCCTGGGAACTCTCTCCCTGGTAAGACATCCGGGTCCTGTGCCTTCTGGCGGTATGAACATGTCCAAGGAACTTAAGGAGCAGTGAGGACACTGAGATACTAACCTTCAAATTACTTTTGCCCTGCTGAAAGCTGGCAAGTCACAGTGAGCTGGCTGGAGGGGAGGGGAGGATGACCATAAACCAGGATAGCTTGTGAATGGATCAGTAATTGAACATGGTTAGGAGGGGATTAAATGTTGTAAACTGCAGTGAGTAGGCAAGGGTGATAAGACCCTGCAGTGAGTAGGGTCTGATGAGACCCTTCAGTGAGTAGGTTTGATAAGACCCTAGTTTCCAGATGGAGATACACAAAGCTGAGAGTATAGCGCAGAAAAACTCATATTTTACTATTATGAGACAGCAAAGGGTTTATACACACTTGTCTTGATCACAAAGGTTGAGACATACAAAAAAAAAAAAAAACCACACTAAACTAAATCAGATTTTACAATAAGATTTTACAATATAATAAATGACCAGAGAAATCACAACAGGGAAATAGGAAGAGGGAAAAGACCTCATTCCAGGAGCATATGTATGCTCTATGAGAAGGCAGGGAGGAAAATTAGCTGAAAGTGGAGGTACAGGGTATAGAGGGAATGAGAGCTCAGGAGAGGAGAGATGGGGAGCCTGGAGCAGATGAGAGGTTGGGGAGCTGAGCAGCTGTAGGTGGAGGTGTTTGGGGAGGAGTCTAGACTGGTAGAGACAACAGGAGTGAGAAAGGGCTCCCCAGACCCCTGGAGGGATGTGGCCCCTCAGGGGAGAACCCAGTTGTAAATTCCTTTCCCACTGTCCTTTTTGCCCTCACCCAAGGGACAATAGACTATTGACTTCTGTGACTGCAGGCCACTCTCAGTACAAGCCCAATTGTGGCTAGGTCTGACTGCCTCAGTGAGACATTTTGGAAGTTGTCTCTTTGTCTCCCCTCCCCCACACGTCCCCCCAAATATTTTAACTGGGGTGCAGACCAGAAGGGCAGGGGTGGTGAGAAGATTCACCAGAGACAGTGGGGAGCAGAACAGGCAGCTCGAGGAAGCACACTGCTGAGGGGAGCAGCGGGAGGGTCAGGAGAGGTCTGCTGCACCATGTGGGTCACCTCCGGGGTGGGGATCAAACTCTCACTGAAGCCGGCCGAGTCCAGCTTTGCAGTGCTGAGTCCTAACCCGCTGCGCCACCATGGCCCCCTCCCCAATTCTACAGGTTGATTCTTTCCCTCCTAGCCTCTGCTCTTGCCACTCTCTGGGTTTGGGATGCCTTTTCTTTCTCTTTGGTGCTGTACCTCCCTCCTCTGTGCGGGATTGGAGCTCCTGACCATGCCTGTCTACATTGCCCACTGGGCCACGGGTGCGCGTGCTCTCTGTGCATGTGCAGCTGGACACTTATGCAGGAGTGTGGGTGGAGATGCTGCCGTGCAGTCCAATGAGCTGGGGCACTTCCCTGCCTGCGTAATAAAATGATGACGTTCTAAAGGAACCCAGAGTGCAGGAGCCACTAGTTAGGACCTGGTGCTCCTCTAGAATCCCCCAGCCCTGGCTCTGGTCATATGCCCTCCCCGTTCCTCCGGCCTCCCCATTCCCCTTGGCAGTCTTCTCAGGCGTAGTCTTGAATAGTTTATGTCTTCCAGGACCTGAGGCCCAGGGGAAATCTAGCCTCAGGGGGAGTGCACAAATAGCATCAGCTTGGCACATCAGGACTGTTCGAGGGTCCTTTTCCCCTGACCTATGACTTCAGTCTGGAGAATGCAGCCTTCAGAAGCCCAGGACCTAGACCTGGAACAGCCTAATCTGATGAATGACAGCAATAAACCCTGACTTTGTTTCCTACAATGATGTGCAAAGCATTTGCTTGTCTTTCTTCTTACTCTTGAGAGCTGGAGACCTTCTTCCTGTGGCCACCTCCTCTAGGTGAGGCTCAGAGGCCCAGGCAGAGCCAAAGCATGGCAGAGTCCCTTACTTTTGGTTCTTGTCAAAGTATGGTTATGGTCATGTATCAAAGATTTAACTCATTAATAAGGGAACTAGAAGGAAAGGAGCATTTGATTCAAAGGAACATTTGAGGGTCAAAGATTTGTAGTTAACTGGAAAAGACGTGCTGAGATACAGTTGCTAAATTAGAGATGAGACTGGTTAATAATGTTTTAGAGGGCAATAAAACCAAAGCTTTTGCAATTATTTATGGGTTAATTTTTTATGGGGTTAATTTTTGCATTTTCATGAACATAAACCTGTACATGTAGCTACAAGTTAACATACCATTCATAAAGTCAGACTCTAGTCAACAGAAAATTGTAAAACAAAGGTACGGTCCCTAGAGAATGAAGTAACTGAGTTGTTCAGTCCTGCTCCATAATGACACTGAAAGCACACACAGTCCTCCTTTAGCCTACTTCCAAGTTAGGGATAATTTTTCCTAATAGTGGAGTCCTCTCTGCTCACTCCTCCTGCCCTATGCCAAACATCCTCAGACTTGCAGCCTTGATGTCTGAGACATCTGAGCACGGCGATCTGTGAGGTCAGGGGCTCTCAGCCTAGAAAGCTTTGCGCCTGGCCTGGTTTGCAGCTGGCTGCCTGGTTCAGCTCACCAGGCCACTGCCTATTGGGGTTCGGTTGTTCCTTGATTCAGAGTAACCCTTTCCAAGATATCTTTTGTGCAAAACGGCCATGTTCTCAGAGAACTTTCCCAAGGTCTCATTTAAGTTTTGCAAGAATTTTAAGTTGTAGGCAACTTAGGGTGTGTTCTACAACACCCTTACACCCCAGTTTAAAAAAAAAAAAAGCCACATCATTGGAAGAGGCACAAGGAGGAGATAACAGAGACCAACTTCGAATCCATGAGCCCAAGTTCTTTTTTTTTTCCTGTGCTGTCTCTCATTTGGCTGACAGGCTCAGCAACTGGCTCAGCAGGTTGTTTTGCCGTCTCCTTAGTAATTCTTCCCTACTACCTATTTCTCTACATGTCTTCTCCTTGGTGTTCATCCACTTTCCTGGGCATGGCCCTGTCTCCTCCTCCTCCCACAAGAAAATGAACTGTCCCCAGTTACTCTGCTTAAGCTCTTGCTGGAAGATGAATGACCCACTCCTCCCCACTCCAGACACAAACTGGTTAAGGTCCTGATGGGGAGCATGGGCATTTGCACTCCTCCCTTGCTTTCAGAAAGTGTGGGAGAGGTTTTCATAACCCAGCCTACCTACTGGCCTCACAAGGAGGAACCTTCTGTTCCTCCCTCAGCCTACCGCCCAGCAAGGATGATTGCCACGCCTGGGTTATAGGTGAAGAAACCAACTGAAAGTTGAAATGAGTGGCCCAAAGTCATGTAACCAGTCAAGTGGAAGAACCCAGGACTCTGGGTTTTTAGCTTCTCATTCCTGAATACCTAGTTGACATTCTGTCAAGTCATTTTGGGGCACAGAACAAATGCAGGTGGGTAAATTATGAAGATACCTAGGGTTTTCTAAGCCTATAGACCTGCTGGAAACCTCTCTGACCTAACCCAGAGGCCCACTCTGAGAAACAGGCCTTTCAGAGGAATTTACACACACACACACACACACACAAACACATATACACACACATACACATCTTACCACAAGTTGCATTTTCCTGAACCTCCCTGACAGCCCTGCAGCCCAACTTACTAGAGTGCTTTCTAGTCTTCCACAAACCTTCTCCTTGCCCCTGGCCCTGAATGTCCTACATTCCAAGATATCCTTCTTCTTCTTTCCTTACATATAACACTACCAGACAGCGGCAGAAGAAGCTGGGCCTCCCCACATGCACCCAGGGCTTGCTTCCCTGCTTGCCTTCCTTCAGTCTCTTCTCGTGGTGGCCAGAGCCTTCCTGACGAAATGCCATTTCCTCCCTGACTTCATCTCTCACTATCCCTACTTCCTATTCCCAGCTGCTACTACCTCACTGCTATTCTTTAAACATACCAGGCACACTCTCACCTCAGGGCCTTTGTCCCTGTGTCCCTCTGTCAAGGCCTTTGCCCAGATGTCACTGCTCTGAGGCCTTTCCTGACTACCCTGCTTGAAATCAGCCTTCCCCTTCTTTGACCTCCCCTTTTGTCTGATTTTATTTTCCCCTATAACATTTGGTATCACCTACCATGCTATATTTTTATTTCTTTAGTGTCTGTTTCCTCCTACATCTGAATTCCTTAAGAACAGAGATGTTCATCTGTTTTATTTCTGTGGTATCATTAGAACCTTGGACAGGGACTTGAACACAGTAGGGGCTTAAGAAATGTCAAGTGACTGAATGAATGGTGCTCAGTGGATGCTGCAGAATGAATGAATTTACCAAAGGATAAACCCATCAAGAAAGGCCTTTGGAATTCAGGACACAGGGGTATCATTTCTGGCAGGGGCTTGGGGTGTCAAGGGAGACTCTCATGAGGAGGTTATAAGCTGGGGAGGGGGGTTCACAGCACCCTCTGGAAGAATGAATCTGAGAACAGCAGCAGCTTAGAGGTCAGCCCTCTGCCTGCAATGGAAGGGAGGAAGGGAAAGGGGTTGGAAATGCTAATCACCCCGTGAAGAATTGCTCCTCTTGGCAGTGGAATACACACAGGGCCTCTCTGTTTATTTTCCTTTGGCCCCAAGCAGCTGGGCCTCTTTTTCATCCTAATTGCTTTGCTTAGAGTTGCTGAGTTGCTGTCACTTCCCAGGAAGGGCAGCAAATAAACTGTGCTGGTGGGAGACACAGCTGTCAGCCGACAGGCCTCCTCTGAGCACACGGGCCATGGGTCTGGGATTCAAGACCCAGGGAGGGGGTCTCCGGGAACTCATCCCACCAGTGTCCTCAGCAACCCTGGAGATTGAGCCTCAGCCTGAGTGGGGGAAACAAAAAGAGGGAGTCCTTCCCCCCTGGCAACTCAACAAC